GAGAGAGAGAGAGAGAGAGAATTTTTTTAATATTTATTTTTTAGTTCTCGGCGGACACAACATCTTTGTTGATATGTGGTGCTGAGGATGGAACCCGGGCCGCACGCATGCCAGGCGTGCGCGCTACCGCTTGAGCCACATCCCCAGCCCCCCACTAATTCTTAAATGTATTAGTCATTCCAAACTCTGCACAGTTCTCCAAACAAACATGGCATGCATTCTAATTGATCCCTGATTTGGTTTGTATTCTCTATATCTGCTTCATATTCTCTTTATGCACAATATTCTACTTATTTTTATAAAAGTCTTCTATATAGTATGTGTGCTGGTTATTCTTCCCTTTCTCACTCCCCTGGCCCATTGGATTCTTTATCTCTTCTTCTCTGTACCTTAGAAGGCTGAATCATCTATATAGTACCTCATCCTGGGATTCCTTATCTGCTGGCTTTTGCTAAAGATTGCCCAATGGGAGTCATTGGGAGAACATTAAAGGGTGGGTGGAGAGGTTGTGTTTTCCCACTTTTCTCCCTACTTAAATGTCGTACTGATGGAAGTGGCTGTGTCCCTACATAACATAGTCTTTTCAGGAGTCTGGTTTTCATAGATTGGATAATTTTATTTCTTTCCTTGTTCTTTCAGCCTGGGAGTGGTAATAATTTCATACTATTGTTAATCTTTGGGTGCTTAAGTTTGTTTTGTCCCTATGTCTGTAAAAACAGTCTTTTCAGTAAGCCATCAGGGTAAATTCTGTTTTTGGAAAGAAAAGAGACTCTCTGGAGACCAGTATAGCATGAGACCAATATAGCACGTTTTATAGTGATTCTCAACTTTATGATTCCTTGTACATAAATGATATAGTCACCTTAGTAACAGTGGCTCCCTATGACATTCATCTTCAACTGTAGTTTTATTAGAATTGTTGTTAGGAGGAAGAAAAGGGGCAAAGTAATTGTATTTTTTTTAAAAAAAGAATCCCATCAGGTGTTCTTACAAAACTCATCCCGACAAAATTGTCCCCACCCCTGAAAATTAGTATCTTACATTGTATTCTTAGTTTGATCTGTAAAAATGCTAAAAAAATTTCTACCTTAGGATCTTTACACTTGCTATTCTCTCTGCCCCACTTCACCACCCACTAAAAATAATTCTCTTTTTGTCCTTTTATCTTGTTTTTTAAAAATGCATAGAATATATCACTTCTTAATGTTCTGTTATGTATTTATTTATTGTATGAATCCCCATTTAAATTATAAAATATGTGGAGGCTGATATCTTGTTAGTTTTTTTCATTATTGCTTCCTTAGAAGCTATGTTTGGCACACAGTAGGTGCCCAGTAAACACTTTTGAAGTGAATTAGTGAATGTGTCTGATTCACCTCCTTGTGTGTGAGCACATTGGAGAAACTGTTTTACTCACAGGTCTATCACAGGATGTGGCACATGATGCTTATTGAATGAATGAACGAATGAGTGGATGAGTGCTGTATAAATGATTCTCTTCTTGATTGCCTCTGAGTGCATCCTGGTTTATCCTCCTATATTATACTAATGAAGTAATTGTACTGAAACTTGTAGTAGTTCTTTTTACATATTTACTTATAAAGACCTAGAATCTTTACATAGAAGGTAAAAGTATGATGAAGAGAAATAGAAAGATTTTTCTAATGTAATGTTTTTATTTTTCAAAAGGAAGCCTCATGTCAGTTACAGTTTAAGGAAAAAAATAATTCTCTAAGAATTATTTCTGCAGTTATTGAAAGCATGAAGTATTGGTGTGAACATGCACAGAAAACTGTACTTCTTTTTGAGGTGTTGGGTAAGTATAATACTTTAAAAATATGTCAGGTCATACTATCTGGACAAGTTTTTAATATTGATAGGAATTTCTAAGGGATATTGAAGAAAAAATTTTGTGAAAGGAAAATATGTTTTATTAGAATTCTTTAAGTTCTTGGTTGGGTGTGTCATTGATTTGTATGAGTTAAGTATTTGGTTATTTGTGGCAGTATTCTTCTGATTTATAGTGTTATAATTGAAAAGACATTTTCAGGTAATCTATCCTCTTGAGTTATATGAGGAAATTGGGCAAATAATTAAAATAGACTTGATTAAAATTATGAAGCTAGTTAGCAGCAGAAATTAATCTAGAATCAAAAACAGCATACTAATGGAGCACCGCCACATCAATGTTTATAGCAGCACAATTCACAATAGCTAAACTGTGGAACCACCCGAGATACCCCTAAGTAGATGAGTATATAAAGAAAATTTGGTATATATATATACACAATGGAACATTGCTGAGCAATGAAAGAGAATAAAATCATGGCATTTGCAGGTAAATGGATGGCCTTGGAGAATATAATGCTAAGTGAAGTTAGCCAATCCAAAAAACCAAATGCTGAATGTTTTCTCTGATATAAGGAGGCTGATTCATAGTGGGGTTGGGGAGGGGACATGGGAGGATTTGACAACTCTAGATAGGGCAAAGGGGGTGGAAGGGTAAGGGCGGGAGCATGGGAGTAAAAAAGATGGTGGAATGAGATGGATATCATTATCCTAAATACATGTATGAAGACACGAATGGTGTGAATATACTTTATTTACAACTAGAGATATGATAAATTGTGTTGTATATGTGTAATATGAATTGTAATGCTTCTGCTATCATATGTAACAAATTAGAATAAAAACAAATTAAAAAAAAAGAATTGATCCAACATGGCGGCGGGTGCGGAGAGATCAAGTCTCTGACCTCTTCAGCTGCAGGGGCATAAGGAGTCTTAAACCGACTAAATGCTGTTTGCTCAGGATCACTAGGCAATGCTGAGTTGACGTGGATCTGGGGCAAACAGTTTGCACCTCTCAGAACACACACTGAGTCTGGAGTGGCTGAATTCAGGCTCCCGTTCGCCTGCTTCTTGCAGACAAATGGCTGTGACTCAGCTAAACGCTCCCGCTGAATCAACTTGTCGGTTACTCCTGAACCTGCGGAGGTTAATACCAACTGAGCCTTCATAGGCAGTGGCCACAGGATTGAGACAGGGCTTGGGAGAGTGGGTCAGGACCCACCCACCAGTTGCATCAGACACCCGGCAAAGGAAAAGAACTGTTGCCATTCGCATGGGATATCACTATGGCAGAGAACTGATGTCACCAGAATGCAGCGGAGGAGATAACTTCATTGAAACCGGCGGCGGCAGGTGTGTAACCCCCTAGCCCTCCCTCTCCACACAACGGGGAAACCTCAAGGGCCCCTCCCAGCTCTCCCGTGAGTGCGATAGTCAGACCGAGGGAATCAGGATCGGCGCGGGACCCGTGGCATGGGACCCCCGGCTACTGCTCCCACCAGCGCTGACAACTGAGGTCTCTTTCACCAGCTACCTGGGGCGTGGCTACCGGAGGTTCTCAGCACCACGCTCCACAACC